CTCACGCAAAAGTTCTTACGCATCCCACCGTTGCTATGAACTGTCACCAAAGCAACGAGAGTTATTCCATGCGCGTGCTTAGTGATGTCATAATGAAAGTCGGAGCAACAAACAAATATACAGCTAGATGTCGTCGATTTTGCAGCATTTTTTCGTACCATGACTTCATCAGTGGATCCTGCGTCAAGCATTTTCGGGCAAGTTATCCATTACGTCTACACGTGGCTCCCGATGACAACTAAGAATTCTAGGAGGAGTAAGAAAGATTCTCGACAATGTAAAAAGCGTGTTAATTTTTCACAGCCTGTAAAAGATAAAAGTGAAAGCAGCCTTCATATAGCGGCTTTAAAAAGCTCACACGGCCTTCCAAGCACTCCAAACTGTTCAAAACTCCTTTTGTTACACTCTTTACCTGAAACATGCCAAGGACAGGAGGGATTTTTGCAAGAACTTGATCCCCGTTCTAACCTTGAGATTGTTGGGTACAAGTTTTTGTCAAACGAAAAGAAGACCAGCAAAAGATCAGCTCTGAAGCGATGGCTGCGCCAAAGAACTAACGTTGTTCACAAAGAGACTGTTCACTTTGATGAACGCTTCGGTTATGGAGGAAGACATGATCTCTGCTGCAGAGAAGTGTTTGAATGTTCACCGAGACTAGCAGGTAAAGCCTTAAAGCGACTTAACGATTTTAGTTTTTGGTCACTTAAAAAGGATCTTTCATTAATTAAAAACAGAGCCTCCCAAAACTTATTCATCCGCTTAGGCCTAGATCGTAATTTAGCCAATCGGAACAAACGTGTCTTTTCTTTTCTCAGTCAACAACAGGTACATAAACAGCAACAATATTAGCTAATATTTAGGCATGAGCAGGCAACTTTTAACGCCAGTTACGGGATCTAACTTTGAGTTCTGATTGGTTTGCTGTTTGATTGGCTTACTGTCTAGTTGGCTCGGGACGTGACAATTGGAACGCTGGTAGGAAACCGCTCTTCTAAGCCTTGAGACAGATTGGATGCAGAAATATTTAACCCCAGAACTGCCAGTATCGTAGATGGGCATATTTTCTCAGTTTAGTTGTAATATGCAGTGGTGGATCCAGGGAGAGGGTCACGGGAACCCCCCCTCCCCCTCCCCTTCCCTAACAGATTTTTACTTTTCTACTTGTTTGACGCTGAAATTCTTGCATCGACAGGATCTCCTCTTTTTACTCAACTGGTTGGCTTGTGTTTTGATGGAAAGCCATTGTATTTGGCCACTAATCTAAATTCCAGGCATATTCCACAATGAAATGTTTTTGGCAGTACCCTCTGATGGTCACTCTCCTCTGCTCGCAAAGCATCTTTGTCCAGTGTTAAACACGTGGTCGTCTCTGCTTTCTGTGAAAATTCGGCATGGCGACAACTTGGCCTATAAGTTCGTTGTTTCAACGTGTAACGGCGG